GTCTCTCTCTCTCTCTCTCTCTCTCTCTCTCTCTCTCTCTCTCTCTCTCTCTCTCTCTCCATAGTTGAAAATAATAAAAAACGGAGCGTTTGTATTATGATACTGTGAACAAGGAAAGCAATGTGGCAGGTTGTAACTCAGGGAGGGGACAGATGAACGGACGGTTATGTTCTGCCCAAGGTCACAGACAAGCGGAGGGATGGACGGATTGAGCAACAGGACACTTGTGACCGACTTCGTTCTGCTGGGGCTGTTCCACCAGGTGCGGGCGCCCGGCCTTCTCTTCTCCCTCGTCTTCCTCGGGTTCCTGGTGGCTGTTGCCGGAAACACCCTGATGGCGATCCTCATCTGGCTGGACTCGCGCCTCCACACCCCCATGTACTTTCTCCTCAGCCAGCTGTCCGTCATCGACCTCCTGTACAGCCTGGCCTTTGTCCCGAAGATGAGCGCCGACTTCCTGTCCGGGAGGAACACCGTCTCCTTCGTCGGCTGTGGGATCCAGCTCTTCCTCTTCATGATCCTCATGGGAGCCGAATGTCTGCTCCTGGTTGTCATGGCCTACGACCGCTACGCCGCCGTGTGCCTCCCTCTGCGGTACTCGGTCCTGATGCGGCCCTCGGTCTGCGTTGCTATGGTGACGGGATCCTGGCTCGCAGCGCTACTCAACGCCCTGTTCCACGTCTCCTACACCATGCACCTCCCTTACTGCCCTTCCAGGAGAATCCAGCACTTCTTCTGTGAGATCTCAGCTCTCCTGAAGCTGGTGTGTGCGGACACCTCCGTCTACGAAGACGGCCTCTTCGTCAGCGGCGTCATGTTCCTCCTCGGGCCCGCGTCGGCCATCTTGGCCTCGTATGGGAAAATCCTCTCCACTGTGCTGGGACTGGGATCAAGTTTAGGGAAGAAGAAGGCACTGGCGACCTGCTCTTCCCACGTGACTGTGGTGTCCCTTTTCTACGGAACAGCCATCAGCAAGTACTTTCTTCCCAGAGCCTACCACTCGGCTGAGCGGGATAAAGTGGTCTCTCTCTTTTACACCATCCTCACCCCCATGCTGAACCCGCTCATCTACAGCCTCAGGAACAAGGAGGTGGCGGGAGCACTCAGCAAGGTTCTGGGAAGATAAACGTCCTCTGTAGATGGACGTCTATTGAGGGTACCACGGAAGAACCTCCGCTATAAAAGGCCGGGCGCCATGGACATCACATGTCCTTGGCCAGCTGTGGTGATCCAGGCACAGCGCTCCTTCACGTGAGCCTCTGAGAAGACCGCTGAAAATGTACCCGCCACCCGTCACCCAGCGGAGAACATAACACTTAGATTTTTAATTGGAGGAGGAACACTATGACTCTTGTTCAATACTGACTGTATACTGAATTTGACTGTATACTTAATAAACAGCAATATCATACCACCATTGTGAAAGCTAAATACTTGTAATAAACTGGACCAAACTCATTTCCAGTTTGTAAAGGTAATGTATTTAATTTTCGTCTATTACAACCAATGTCATACTGAATTTGACTGTATACTTAATAAACAGCAATATCATACCACCATTGTGAAAGCTAAATACTTGTAATAAACTGGACCAAACTCATTTCCAGTTTGTAAAGGTAATGTATTTAATTTTCGTCTATTAACACCAATGTCCAAGTTTTCTCCTTTGTCTCTTTTATTTGCAGAAAACATTATGCTTCAAAGTAAATGCTTAGACCACAAATTTAACCTTTGATAATATTTACCAGGTTAACTATAGAACGCTGAACTAGTTCACTCTAGTTATGCCTTTCAGTGTTACATTGAGCCTCCACCTCAAACTTTTTTGTAGTGCCACTTTTCCCATGAAATAGATTTTCCCAATGACTTTTTGAAATACAATATTAGATTCAAGAAAATGACTATTCCTTACATTAATGTTGTTTACATGTAGATTAATAAATGAAAAGTGGACGTCGTTAATTTCGTAATGGATATGCAGTAAAAATTAACAGCAAAGACTTTTATTGTATCTTTCTGTTGTTGAAGCACTCTTACTGGAGGCTTCATTCAGAACCCCTCTCATCTGTTAGTTCTGGAATTTACGGTTTCGTCCACATTTGGTGGGTTTTCTACCTTACTGACTAATGAGCCACCAATTCACTATAACAGCAGTGCAGCCACTGGGTAGTTTATTTCTGGATTTATGCAAATTTCACTCTGTCAATTTAGTTCTTAGAAAATCTTCTCACTCCTCTTTACTGATTTTATACCTTCTCTTAATATTACTAATTGTTTTGAAATTTAAGTTAAAATTTCAAGTTCAGCCAATAAATAAGGTGTATTATTTATATGTACAGGTAATCATCTATGGAGTTATTTCTGTAATAAATAGTGAATGATCTCACTTGGAAAGTTTTAGTCATAGAGTCCTCAAGTAGAGTAAGAAAAAAGATTTACAACATCATATCTGTCACTGAAGAAAACTTTCTACTTTAGATTTATAACGCATTCTATAAGCTGGACTATTTTCCTACTTATATTTTATTTTTAATTCTAATTTTTAATTATTTGTGTGGTGTGTGTGTGTCTGTGTGTGTCTGTGTATGAGTGTATGTCACTTGTGTGCAGTTCCCTTGGAGGCAAGAAGAGGGCATCAGATTCCTTGGAGCTGGAGTTACAGGCAGTTGTGAACCGCCTTATATGGCTGCTGAGAACTGAACTTGGTTCCTCTGGAAGAGCAGCAAGTGCTTGTAACTGTTGAGCCATCTTCCAGCCCCTCCTACTTATATTGAAACACTCCCTAGGGCTTCATAATTTGATGAGAATTATTATCTGGCAAATAAGTGTTATTTACATTGATACATTTTCTTGAGGCGATATAAACACAGCACCCCTGGAACACTCAATGACACCAGGCGATGCACCAGCATTTATATGGTAACACTGTTACTTTTCCTGAAATGTAATGGCTGCTATAAACTGTGAGTGTACGCCCTCCTTTTTCTACATTCATCATCATCATTAGCAATGCTAAAAGACACTATAGTTTTAGCCAAGCATGGTGGCACATACCTGTTGTGCTGGGTAGCTTTAGTGTCAACTTGACACACTTGGGTTGAGGGAGAGATATAAACACAGCACCCCTGGAACACTCAATGACACCAGGCAATGCACCAGCATTTATATGGTAACACTGTTACTTTTCCTGAAATGTAATGCCTGCTATAAACTGTGAGTGTATGCCCTCCTTTTTCTACATTCATCATCATCATTAGCAATGCTAAAAGACATTATAGTTTTAGCCAAGCATGGTGGCACATACCTGTTGTGCTGGGTAGCTTTAGTGTCAACTTGACACACCTGGGTTGAGGGAGCCTCAATTGGGGAATTTCCTCTATTGGACTGGCCTGGGGCCATGTCTGAGGGGCATCTTCTTGATGAGTGATGTGGGAGGGCCCAGCCCACTGTGGGTGGTGCCACCCCTGGGCAGGTGGGCCTGTGTTGCATAAGAAAGCAGGCTGAGCAGGGGCGAGGGGAGCAAGCCAGTAAGCAGCGTTCCTCCATGGTCTGTGCTCCAACTCCTGCCTCCAGGTTCCTGCCCTGGTTCCCTGATGAACTGGGACCTGGGAGATGTAAGCTAAATAAACCCTTTCCCCTTCAAGTTGGTAGTGGTCAGCGTGTTTTGTCACAGCAATGAAGAAACAAACTAGGACACCTGTCATTCCAGAACTTGGAAATTGAGACAGAAGGCTCAGAAGTTCAAGGTCAACCTCTACTATTTTGAGTCAGGGTGAGTGAGTTTGAGGGCATCCTGAGAAATATGAGACCCTGACACAAAATAAACAAACCTACAAAGATACAAAGAAACAAAAACGAAGCCAACAACCAAGATATATAGTTTGTATTTTTTTCAGTTTATTATTTATTTAATAACCACATACTTAGAAGA